AAAAATATGATTCCTTCGCTACATAAGAGTTCTTATGTTTCAAAAACGAGAGCCGAAACCATCCCAAAAATTATTAAAATTAAGTTGGTTTGAGGTGTTTAGTCCCGTTTCATGTTCAAGCGAAATTTTAGGAACCTAAAATATATCTATATATCTATATATATATATATATTTATTTAGGCATTTGCTGTATATACATTATAACTATTCATAAATTTGTGTTTCATCAGGAACCTATCTCTTTAAGGGATATGTGAATCCATAAATAATATTGGTTCTCTGTAATTGTTAAGTAAAATGCTTAATCGCAATAACTTGTCAGTTGTTTTTACATGAAAAATCTAGCTGCTTAAATACACAATATATATATATATATATATATATATATATATATATATATATATATATATATATATATATATATCTTGGGTCTTTATAATACCCTTGGGAAAGGTATGTATCCTCTTCATTTCCCTCAACTATGGGTAAAATAGCAGGACAGACTGGGTTCTATAGCCTTGGATGGCAACTGGTCTGGGGAGAAGGACAACTCTGAATTCAAAAACCTACGGAGGGTCGTTTGGGAACCTTGTGGCATGCATTCGGTGCACCAGGTTTCTGTATTCGTCCCTCCAAAAAGTGTGGCTGGTCCTGCACAAGGCCTTCACCACTATAAACAAATCTCATGTGCCGGTGTCGGGATATCGGTTCCCTGGGGACTTAACTGCCTGACCCTCATACGTCGAACGCGACGGGAGAGTCGATTATTATTATATATTTGAAAAACGTAGGAGATCAGCCAACCCACACTACCTTTGTTTCAACCTTTTCGTATCTTCAGGCGATCCGGGCGCTAAATTTCCCCAAAATTAGGAAATATATATTTGAAAAGGATTGGTGTATACGGAATACATTCAATAAGCAACAATTACTATTCTTCATTTGATAAGACACCAGAGGTGTTGAAACAAAATGGCTATTTTTGTAGTGATTTTATAACATATTTATGTTATATTTTTTTTAATTATAAATAATATATATATATATATATATATATATCTGACAAACAAACACACAAACACACACACACATATATATATATATATATGTGTGTGTGTGTGTGTGTGTGTAATGTGTGTTTGTGATTGTTTGTGTGTGTGTGTGTGAGAGAGAGAGAGAGAGATGGGAACAAAAGTATCCAGATACGGGTTTTCCTTTTCGATTACATATATGTATGAGGGCTGCCTATATATGAGAGCTTAAGGCCATAACAGATTGAAACACCGGTTGTCGTATAATCTAAGCGAAATCGAACAAGACAGCTTCGAAATGCAAGCTTCAAGGAAGCTTGGATGTGCAAGTGGTGTAATGGATAAAGACGAGTAGAATTCCAATTAAGGCCGGGTCCGTTATACTCAGTTAAGCGACAATACATTTGGGAAAGATATGAATCTACCTCTTCTCCCCAATCTATGGATTAATTAGTAGAATTTATATCATTCAAAAACATTCTTATAATCTAAAAATATTTTCTAGCCGGGAATGAGCTGCAAACGTTTTTGCTAAACAAATTACACACACACACACACAAACAAACACACACACACACATACATACATACATACACACACACACACACACACACACACATATATATATATATATATATATATATATATATATATAAATGAATACTGAGGAAAACACCAATAAAGCAAATCTTTCATGCCGACCGTGATATTCAGGCCATTTAAGTATACCATGCCCCCAAACTATATGATTTACACACATTGATATATATATATATATGTGGCACCATGCATATCTGACGAGCTGAGAGAAATATTCATAGATATATGATTTGTTTTTTACGGTTTATCAACCATTTAATAATTATTTAAGGCGAAAAAAATATTTTGGGTTTTAAGAATAATTCTTTCTTTACATTCAAGCGATCTGGAAGAAAGAAAAGAAAACGAAGAAGAAAGAAAGAAAAATAATACGAAAACAGGTCATAGGCGAGCACACACACGCACGGCTGACAGATAACAGGTGTCGAAAATATTCAGGTCAAGCATCTGACCGATTTCCGCAGATCCGCGAAAATGGAAGTTTGTTATCAATTGGTTTGTCACCCAAAAAGGGAAAAAAAGAAAGGAGGAAAAGGGGAAAAAGTTTAGGGACACTGAAAATATTGATAACAACAAGTGGGAAGTGTGTCATTGGAATGATAGTAAAGGTCTAAGTGGGTGGGAAGTGTATCTAAGGATATGAAGACAAACCATTAATACGAAAACACAGACAGTCTCCAGAATTAGAACAAGCCCACACAAGGCGTTGTCGCTGGCGAAATTTTTTTGAGATAATAAAGATTTTTATTATCAGACCTTCGAGCAGAGGAAAATTGAAATATTTTTATTCCGTCTCAGAAAACGCCAACGAGTCTGAAATTCTTTCTTAGATCATATCAATTAGCGATAAACTGCTTGATAAATACCACGTGTTAAAAAGCCGAAGAGTGTCACCTCAGTCGCTCATGATAAGGGCGATTTAAATTAATATTTTGTTTTTTAAGCAAGGTATTTCTTTTCCCAAAACAAAGCCACGGACTGTTCGCCCGACTAAAGACGTCATTGGCTAAATAAGATCACATGACACACGAAGGAGGAGGAAAGATACCCGACCAGGAACTCATTGGCCGAGAGCGATCACGTGACGCACGAGGAGAATCGGTCGACGCCCTGTCAGAAATGTAAGTGTGAGAAGCCGATACGAAGAAGCGGGGAAGCGGGTACACGCCCCTCAGAGGCACAGTAAGGGAGTGAGAGTGAGTTACCGAAAATGGAAAAGAATGAAAAATCCCTAACCCGAAATAAGAAGGGTGGATACGTATTTAGAATTATCGAAGAACCCCTGGCGCCGACAGACCCACCCCAGTTTTGACTGCGTCAATAAAAACGAGACCTCAACAGACGAAATCAGTTTCAGCCGCGGACGGCAAGCGGAGTGGAACCGCGGACGGCGGCCGAGTTCGGTCGCCCACTTTTTTTTTTTTGCGGGCAGGAGAGGCCAGTTCGTTTGGCCTAAGTGAAAAGTTCGTCCGACCCAAGCCGAAGAGAAGTTAGTTCGCGCACCGACGGCGGAGATGAGTGACCAGTAATTCAGACTCTGGAGAGAAGAGTTGAGTTTGTTCAGCCGCGGACGGCGAAAGAGTTGGACGGCGGCCGTGGACGACAAGCAGAGATGAGCGCCCAGTGTTGAGACCGCGTCAAGATAGCTGACCAAGATTCACGCACACTTCTGGACTCTTCTTCAACCAAGAACAAGTAGTTTGAAGAGTGACTTAGAATCAAGACCACAGAAGTAGGTTTTTTTTTCGACTTTCGTCCAAAGACACACCGAAACACAAATTTCTTAGAGAGCAGACAACTTGAAGCCTTAAAGTTGCCTAGTAAAAGCGTCGTGCCACAATCCACAGAACGGGTCGGGAAGTAAACATAGTCCTATGTACCGAGCAAATAGACATAAAAAGTTTGTTACCTTTTTCTTTGCTACGTTGGACCTTGTGAGTTTTTAATTTATTTTCTTTTATACATAATTGTGTGTTATCACCCCCGTTGGACTCAACTTGCATTACGGCCCCAACCCCTGTTTGACCTCGTCTGTCTAAGATCAATTCACAACGTGGGTAGGCAGACTGGAGATCAGTGCAGTTACCCTGGTAACCAGGCGTTGGAAGCGGGTTGGGAACGACGGAGTCATCAATCTAACCAAAGGGTTAGAACGTCACGTTTGGACAGCGACGGCGAACAGCTGACGCCGCGGCGAAGACGTCACAGTTCGTGCTGCCTTGACCAGGATATCAGAGCCTGGGAGCACGTGACGTCACAATTGGCGCCGCGACCGGGATCGAACGACACAGTCGACGCTGCGACCGGGGACGACGTCACACACACACACACACACACACACACACACACACATATATATATATATATATATATATATATATATATATATGTATATGTATTTAGTTGGATTGATGTGATATATAAAAATTGCATATATATATTATTGTGAGGCCCTACCTACAAATGGACTCTTCCAAACCTATATAATATGACTACCAACTCTGAGTAAAGGGAGTCACCAAGTGAGGGTCACCGAGTAGTAGACATCGAGTGAGTGAATGAGTGAGTCAGGACACCAGTGAGAGAAAGTATTCTCCAGTCCATATTTACTTTGTACTACGTTTTCCGAGAATATACTACTTAACCTTATATCCGAGTCCGTGTTATCATTCTATGGTTCTACACCATAACAATATATATATATATATATATATATATATATTTGGTTGGATAGATGTGAGTTTGTAACCCTGGGTTTCACGCTTTACCGATCGTCAGGGTTTTTCCCAAGGGTCTCTTTTCGATTGATCAGACACAGCCGAGCGGAATCGATTAAGGAACAAACACGATAGGCGACAAACAACAATGGAGACAGGAAATATAAATTTATTAACAAACATGGAATCGTGGAAAAGATAAAAATAAAAAAATAAAAAACGGCCAAAACAAAAATGACGATATGTCAAGAATAAACATTTAAACATTATGGACAAAACAGTGGGAGTAGAACGTCCTCTAAGAAAGGTAAAAATAAAAATCAACCTATGGCCTTGTGCCATACTGCCACGAATTTATAGAACATGTGCTATACCTGCACAGATTTACAAATCTCAACATTTTAAGACAATGTGGAAAGAAACATATAATAAAAGGATTTCATGCTAAATTTGCATGAGAGTACAAAAGAGGTACATTTAAACAAAAACGGGGTACAAGAAAAATAAACTTAACTCAGAATAATAAAGTCCTTTTTTCACTAATAATGTCTCTTAGTCTTATCTTTTTCTTTTCCCTTTTTCTATTTCTTTTTATCAGGGTCTCTTTTTGACGTCCTCTCTTACTTCCTCTTTTTCTCTTTTCGTCGTCTAGGGGCTCGGCTGATGATGAAGCAGAAAATACCTTCCCTCTCTCTTTCGTCTTGGTATGACAGCATTCTCGCTCGAGATGGTCTGTTCTTTCGTTTTTTCTTTCTTTCTTTCTTTTCTTTTCCCTCTCTCTTTGTTTAAGGGCTTGGTGACAGTGGAAACTGCTTTCTCTCTCTCTTCGATATAACGGCGTTCCGCCTACGTCGTCAAAACGGGTCCATCCATTCGACTGGGAGACCAATTCTCCTCACAATTTTGCAAACGCATCTTTTCAGTCCGTATACTGAGACATTTGCCAAACGTCCTACCGGCCCGCAGGCCCAGTCAAGACTAACTTTTTCGTTTCACTATTCGTTTCCGTTTTCTTCTTGTCACGTGGTCAATTTTAAAAATACTAACTTTTTCCCATTTATGGGTGGAATGGGATCATCGACACCTTCTCTCATCTTAAGGGTCAGAGAAAGTTTAGTTTAAAATGTTTCAACCTATCCAAACCGGAACCCATCCGCGTAGATCATGCTGTCAACACCTTGACCAAAAGAGAAGGAAGGGGGACACTCTGGTCAATCATTGTCACCACGAAGTCTATCTACCTCTTTGGGTTCACTATCTTTACATTTTCTGCAAGTACTTGGCTCTTTATTTTAGAATGCTTCTAAAATACAAGCAATGGTATATTTTTTTATAATAAATTTAGATCGGGGTTCGTAATAATATATATATATATATATATATATATATATATGATAAAATAAAAAACGAATGCGAAACTCTATCAATATAATATGTTTCGCTTTTATAAAAGTTTAAAGTTTCTACAGAGAGATCGAGAAACCGGACAAAAAGACAGAAACTCTGATATTTTCAATTTTGTTTGGGTCAGCAGTTTTCATTCGACAGGCATAGAGAGACACCACATTATTTAAAATCTCGCATCTACGAACACAAGAGAGACTTGCGTTTGGACAATCTATCTAACTCTCTCGTTTTGCACGGAAACGCTGCTGGACAGAACTTTGATTTCACTAATGCCACCCCAATTAAAAAAGGAAAAAACATAATTCTTTCAGGCGAAAATAATTAAAGCTTAAATAACATTATTACCAACTACAAGCCCACCCCTAAAACATTACATTACACCCGTCATCTTTCATTGAATCCATTCTCAAAGAATCTAACTCATAACTAATACAAAGTATACATGCGTAAAGAGATCGGATGTATATTATAATGATGCCACTCTCGGCTGCGCTGGCTGAGCACACAAAGGTGAAGACATTAGAACTGGACAGACACACATACACAATTACGAATACACGTTACCATCTGATTCCCACTTAAATATATAAAGAATCTTCACAAACATACATGCATATAGAACTATCTACGGTTTTAATGCACATGAGGCTGAATTGACCAATGACTAATGATCCAAACAAAATTGAAAATACCTGAGTTTCCATCTTTTTGCTTGTTTTTCTTTCAATTTTTGATGAAGCTTCAATAAAAGTGAAACATGCTAGATTGATATGCGTTTCCTATTTGTCATTTATTTTATTATTATTTCGGATATCCGATCCACATTTGATCTGCATTTAATCTTCAACTAATAAATATATAAATATATATATATATATATATATATATATATATATATATATATATATATATATATGTATGTATGTATGTATGTATGTATGTATGTATGTATGCATGTACATGTATTAGGTTGGTGCAAAAATAATGACGTAATAATCTCATTTTTTGTGTATTTTTAACGTCAAAAAACGACGTTATTACGTCATTATTTTTGCACCAACCTAATATATCAAGTAGAGGATTGGTGTATACGGAATAAATTCCAATAACCAACAAATACTATTCTTAAAAGAGTGGTCAACACAGAGTAGAACAAATATAATTATATATATAATATATAAAATATATATATATATATATATATATATATATATATATATATATATATATATATATATATATATATATATATATATATATATATATATATATATATATATATATATATATATATATATATATACACTGCGTGCCAATTTATTATCGAGATAACTTTCTAATATTTCAAAAACTGTCCAATCAATTCACACAAAATTTTCACACAATATTGACAATGACCTGCGCAATCACTGAAATTTTCGTACTGATCTGCGCAACGTAAACAAACTGGCGCCATGTTTGTTATCAGCACGGTGATTTGAGCGTGCCAAATTATTAGAAAAGTGTAAGAATTTAGTGAAAAGATGGGCCATAAAAGCAGTTTAAGCGATGCCGTAAAGAAAACTATCACCTCAGAACTCTCAAAAGGTAAATCTACCCTAGAAATTTCTAAAATGATAGGGAGGTGTCATCAAACAATAAAAAAATGGTCATGTAGGGTTTGTTGAAGACCCTCTGTAGAAAGTATATTCATTGTGTATGTCTAAATTGTTATTTAAACCCTTCGCAACGCTAACCGCGGCAAAAAATAACAGCCGATTACCGTTTCCTTGTAGACAATTTCTACACTGAGCATTTGTTCACGTCGAACGTAATTGCGATGGTTTTGCGTCAAATTAAAAACATCACTGAAAAACGCCACAGTTTGGGCTAGGTGAAAAAACACACAGGAAAAAGTCTGTTTATAATTTATATTTCACGATATTTCCTCTATTCACGCTGCCTTTAATGTTACTGATATGTCCCGGAAAGGGATATATTTGTTCGAAGTAGCAAAGTGGTTTTGGGCTACTGTAACCGGGTAGGACAATCTAGCAGGTAAACGTAATGGACTGGTCCTCGTCGTAGTGGTAGGCAATAGGCGTCGTCTCTGTACCTCCACATCAGTCTGTATTTATGGCTGACACCAGCCAATCATATTACTGTGAGGGGAACCTAGGTGTATGCATATTCATTACATCAATTACAAACATACTATAGAGAAGAACAAGTTTACTTACAGTACGTAGGTTATATCAATCCTGACCTCAAACCAAAGACCTATTCAAAATATTTACCAGATTGGTCATTGTTACCTCATCTGACTTATCTTAATCGTTTCAGGTTGATGTTTTCCCAATTCTCAGTTATGTGCCATGCGAGATACACGCTTAGGCGATCATGGATCTTTCGATAGCTGACTGACGAAGCAGATTTTTTTTACCGCAGTAGGTTGCTTTTTCTTTCTAGACCAGTTGCCATCCAAGGCTATACAACCCGGTTTGTCCTGCTATTTACCCTGTGCGGGGAGAAGAAGAGGATTCATACCTTTTCCAAGGGTATTAGTACGTAAGGTATCATCAGCTCAGCATATTCCTTTACTGGGACCGATTCACATACGAAAGTGGGACGAAAGTTTCATAGACTGACTATGAAGAGTGACGCTAGAGGTGTGAAATCTTGCTTATATTAATTCCAGCTTCTCGTGTTACGAACTGTATTATTTTTTTTTCCTGACATCTAACTGTTTGCAGATGACTGTTCATTCTGTCATCACTGGGATACTGGTGCCCAAGAGAGAATTTTGGCTTATCTTGGTGAACTAATAATAGTCAAATCAGTAGAATAGGGAGGCTGACGAACCAGTTCAAAATCAAAGTCACATAAAGCAGTCATTGAAACAAAGGACTTGTGTGCCCGATCACAGTTCTGATGAAACAAAACCCCTTTCGAGAGTTGGGCATCTGCCTAAAGCAAACTGACATAGTAATCTCTATTGATGGTGTGGCAATTTTGAAGATTGTCAATAAACACAATGATTTTTGCATTCATAATTACTAAAATCATCATCTTCCCTGCAGATAAATCAACCATGGCATTCTTTGGAACGGATGAGGAGGGGTGTTTCCACTGAATAGAATGTCTCCGACTCAAATTTATGGACCCAACTTAGCTTAGGAACCCAGACGGAAGCGCCTCAGACAATGCCGGAAGATATGCAGAAGTCATCTTCATGGCACTTCCATTACAGTGTAACCCGGATATAAGAGACCCGGATATAAGAGAAACCCGGATATAAGAGACCCAGATATAAGAGAGACCCGGATATAAGAGAAACCCGGATATAAGAGAGATTTTCTCTGGTCCCAAATTAGAGCCTGTGTTAATGTATATAAAATAGACCCAACCCGGATATAAGAGAAACCCGGATATAAGAGACTTCTTCTCCGGTCCCGACAACTCTCTTATATCCGGGTTACACTGTATATAAACATCAACAATTGAGATATAGATATATAATCATCAACAATTGAGAGATATATATACAGTGTAACCCGGATATAAGAGACCCGGATATAAGAGAAACCCGGATATAAGAGAGATTTTCTCTGGTCCCAAATTAGAGCCTGTGTTAATGTATATAAAATAGACCCAACCCGGATATAAGAGAAACCCGGATATGAGAGAGATTTTCTCTGGTCCCAAATTAGAGCCTGTGTTAATGTATATAAAATAGACCAAACCCGGATATAAGAGAAACACGGATATAAGAGACTTCTTCTCCGGTCCCGACAACTCTCTTATATCCGGGTTACACTATATATAGAATATTTTCTATTGTCGCACTGGATATGCTAAAAACATTGGTTATTTGATTTATAGTCAATCGGTTACCATACATCACCATGTGGTAAAAACGATCATTTTTTTTTTTCCTTCGGCGTTTGGCACTGACATGAATTTTCAGATCTTGGGACATCTTCAAGACGCTTCTTTCTCCCCCTAAATTCAACTGCCCAGGTTTGTCCTTCTGGTAAAACTGGAGTGTCAATCATTAATTTAGCAACCATATCAGCATGAATGTACTTGGTGTCTAAACCCCTTATTCTCCAGGGACTTCATAACACCACAATGCCAGCTTTTGTCAATCTTATGTCGCGCCTAGCTACTTTGAAGTTTTCCATGAACATATGTCAATTTATTTGGAAATAAACAATATAATTATTAATAAGAAGTATTGAAACTAGTACAGGCAAGATTTCGCATCTCTAACACCCCACCTTCATAGTGAACTTATTAACTTTTCAAACCATTCTCATATCATCCTTTAAATGTTTGAATTCAAGAGTTACCTTTCTATTACAGAAGCATGTAAACTACTCTCGAGTATCTGTCTATATTTCTGGGATGAGGTATTATGTACACTATTTATATTATTCGGACAATTGTTCTCATGTTTGTCGCCATATTTATTACAACATTTCGGCAGTTTGACGCTCTAACCTTCTTCTCTAGGTGGTTGGATTGTCGAACTGAACCCTTTATTTCGCTCAATGGGGTAGACTGTTCTAGTTCCACGTGTCATGTTTAATCAAGGACACATGGCACAGTGGATAAAAGCGTTAGTTAGATCCAATGACAGGATCCAAAGAGTGTGAGTTCAATAACCGGTTAAGACAGTGGAGAACTTGGAGAGGAAAATTAACAGGAGTTAACTGAAATCCATTAAACAGGGCACGTGGAAATAAAGGGTTCAGTTCAACATTCCAACCACCTGAAGAAGGCCGGAGCGTACAACTGCCGAAATGTTGTAATAAATATGGCGACAAAGATGAGGACAATAATCCGAATAATGTAAATAGTTTACTCTCGAGTAGTTTGTAAAACCCTATTTATCATTTCTCAGTTGCGTCTCTGTCTTTAGGCAGATTGCACGCAGTGACGACTCCGTCGAAGGACAAAGTCGCAACTGAGGAAAATTATAGTGAGATGCCCAGCCCTGGGGAACAGCTGCCCAAAGCTTTGCCCTCATGTTGCACCAGAGAGAGGGATCAGTGCTCGTACCCAGGCAATCAGGGGCTTGCGAGGGCTTCGGGGGCTGCGGGCAATTTTTTTTTTCTCGCCCGGGTGTACGCGGTCGGGTCCAGTTTTTGGTTAGGGTTTTGATTTTTTGCGTAAACTGTATTCATGGTGTGTGCCTAAATTCTTAGTCAAACTCTCCACAACCCTAACCAAGGCATATAACTGCTGATTAACGCTTTCCTGTGGATATCTCCGGCATTGTAGATTTTTTATTGCCGAACTTAATTGCGATTGTTTTGTGATAAAGAATTCATTTTGGTAAATTCTTCTCATTTCTTGATTCTTTTTTTCCCCCCTAACTGTGGAAATTTATGTCTTCCATTACATTTTCACGGCGATATTGGCAGCGTACCGTGGTTCCCAGATGAAACCACGGTGATGCAAGCGAGCCCGGAGATGTTGCCAAGAGCCTTGAGAAGACCCCTCTCTTCTTTGTCTGCGTACAATCGGCGCGACTGCAAATACGGAAATGGCGCTTGCATGACGCCGCGGTTACAATGCCGTCTGATGCGCTTTCATTAGAAGCTCTAGTCAAAGTAATAAGAAATATTTAGCTCGACACTCAAGAGACGTTACTAATTAATGGCCATAGTAAAATCCGTTATTAATTTTTTTTAAAATAACAAAATAGGAATACCAAATGAATTAGTATTTTCTAGGAGTAAAGTGTCGTTGCCCACACTTGAGTTTGAACATAGATCACCAGTGAGCAAACACAGTTGATCCCATTATAGAATAAAGTAGACCACGTGACCATAGAGGAAACGCATATATGGGAGGTAGCCTGTGTTTAATTGTTCTGCATTCTAGTCTATCCTCTATTACTATACGAATCTATCTTTCTAGTCTATCCTCTATCACCATATGGAGCACCATCACTATACTATTTCTCTATTCAGATCACAATACGATGGTTACTATTCGAGCGAATATTATCGGGCAAGTACTATTATTGCGAGTGTTATTCGAAGGCATCTGGCACCAGTATTGTTCAACGGCGTTACTATAGTTGTATCTGCGATTACAAAGTCTCTACTACAACGAACATTACAAAAGTGACAACGAGTATTCTTTGACATCCAAAAAGTGGAAATGAGTCTTCGGTGACATAACAAAAATTAGTTTTTCTAAAAAAATTCCGTTATTATTGCTTAATGAAAACCTGGTATTAATTATTGGATTCTGTAAACTCCAATATTATTTATAGATTTCTAAAAATAACTCATTAATGTTCAGTGGAACGGGGCACATTAATGGGTTAATAAATTTGAATCATAAAACATAAATTTGAATCATAACGCATTGACTATTGAATATATATTACGAACATATAGACAGTCACATCTTAAAACGGAAATATATGACAGAACCTTAGGAAATTATAATATCAAAAGCGAAGAGAAAAATTATCAGGAAATTAACGGAAATAAATCTTTGCAAAGCAGTCGATAATACTAACAAGACTAATACTAACTTTTATTTTTTAAATTAAATTTGAATTATATGGAAAAATATGTCACAGTAATTTAAAATTCATTCTTATCATATTGAAATAATTTCCTCAAATAAGAAAAAGACAAATGAAAATCCAATTTTAGCATCTTACTAGCAGCATGGCCCGGTGTTGCCCGTGCTTGATTCAAAAATCGTACGACTCATACAGCAATCGCTATCACTTGACTTAAAATATTTTTGCCCTTCCTTGCCTTTAAAGGAGTGCCCTTTGACGTGCTGATGTTGCTACATGCCTTACTTCTTGCCTTACTTCTCACACTGCGAATATTTTCTAAGCTCTATACTAAACATTAAATCTGTTACGAAAAAAAAGAACTAAACAAAATGAACACAAAACGATCAGCTTTAAAAAGGACTCGTAACTGGAAAAACCGAATGAAAAAAAGAATGTTAACAACAAATAATTTTTCACACCCAACCCAGTTCTGCGGAATCAGAATCAACGTTGAGTTTAAGCAAGCGAATGAGCCAATTGGAGTAAAGTGCCATGCAGATTTAAAATTTTCCCACCTGTGACAAATGCAGCTATCGATTTTTTTTGCATGCTAGCATGCTAGTTAACATTCGTGTCAGTCAGCTGTTGGTTCTTACGCTGGTCAATAGAATCTTCCTGCCTATTCGTGGCAGCCAGCTAAGGGCTCTCACTCTGGCCAGTGAAAATGAAAACTACCGTAGAAGCATGAAAGAATCGATTATCGATGGGAGTTGAGAAATGCAAAGTCGGTCTTGGCCTTCCGGCTAACTTGGAGCATGTGCATGTAAATTTTGGCGCAAATCCGTCGAAAATTGCGGCCGTGCATTCGTTACACACACACACACACATCCTGCCTTTTATAGATAGAAATATTTGAAATTAGTTTTGGTTCAACAAAAAAATCGCATTTATTATCTTTAAGTCACGATTTAAGCAAATAAATACTAATACTCTGCGTTTAAAAATCAATCCGTTATGAATTTTTATTTTTTCCTAAAGTTAAGAACGCCAATGATATTACGTTTTTAGAGTCGGATTACTACTGAGTTACTTATTTATTAGTTTATTACAGACTAACTCAACTTGGTGTAGGAAATGTACAAGGGATTGACTCTTTGCCTGTAGACAAAGGCCAACATTTGAAATCGTATCTTTCCAGTTCTATATTACTTGTTAATACAGACAAGGTTTGGCTTTTTGTACAAATAAATTAAGCATTTTATTTACAATGATGTTCACTTTTTACAAGTCCCGAAAGGTAGAGGTTTCCAGAGTAAGAGGTACAGTTATTGGTGATATGTGGGAAAGATAACGATTCACCCTAGACTTGAACAGGTTAACATTGTAGTGATCGGGAAAGCATCCTCTTGGTAGTCAGTTCCATAGAGGAGCGGTTCCTAGGAAGACACTGCTCGGGTAGAACTTACATGTTCCCAGTGGAATACGAAGGAGATGGAAATGGTTAGCTAGAATGGGCGTGGCATGGCGGTTTTTTTTTTCCTTGAAGGTTACAACAGGCTGAACTCTGTTATAGTAAGTTTAGTAAATATTAGGTTGGTGCAAAAATAATGACGTAAGAATGTCGTTTTTGACGTTAAAAATACGTCAAAAACGACATTATTACGTCATTATTTTTGCACCAACCTAATAACAAGCGTTCAGAGGGAAGACTGCCTGAGAACGGATTTAACTCGGACGCAAGTAGCCAGTTCTCGAGCCAGACTAAAGCGAATATTTATTATCTTGACTTTAAAATATGCCAGCCTTGCAGAAATGCAAGATTCTCACATCTTTATACTTGCTAGATTTTGACATCCCCACTTTGTAATTCGCATGCTGAACTGTCCCTTTTGTTGACAACCATACATTGTCTTCTTACAACTGATGTCTAGTCCTTTCTTCTCCCTTTCCTTTATTACCTTCTTTCAGTGTTCTAGTAGTCTCCTTTTTTTGTCTGCTATCAACACTGTGTCATCTACATATTTGTTGTTGTTAAGATTGTGGTCACCAAGAATGTATCCCAGTAGAAATTGAAATTATCTTAAGATTGCTGCTCTATAAAGTTTGAATAGGTCTTTCTGATAAAACACACCCATGTCTTACACACTTTATTTAATTACATATATATATATATATATATATATATATATATATATATATATATATATATATATATATATTATTTTATTTTTAAAAATATACTCCATCGCGACACAGAAAATTCCATGTTTCAAAAGTGAAACTAAATTTGTAAATTTAATTATAAAAATTAAACTTAAAATACTGTCATCGCTTGACAATGTAACGAAACTATGGATTTTAAGTTTAATTTTAATAATTAGATTTATAAATTTAGTTTCAGCTTTGAAACTGGAAATTTTCTATGTCGCGATCGAATAATATTTTTAAAAAAATAATTATAATATTTTACTCTACTGTTTTGTATCGAGCACTGTTTTTTTTTTTAAAATAAAAATAACTGCTAAGAAAACCGGATAATAAATCTTACTGTTCTTTCTTATTATTTTAATATATATATATATATATTATATATATATATATATATATATAGATACTTTTTCAATGTTTGATTAAATTAATAAATTAAAATAAAATTTTACTTGTTTGTTGATAAACTACATTCAATGTAAATGTTTCGCAAATATATTTCGATTAAAAGTAACATTATTTTATATTTTAACCCTTTTGTGTCTGGTCTTAATATTTTGAAGGAATGCATATATATATATATATATATATATATATATATATATATATATATATATATATATGCAAGGGAAAAATAATATAATACAGACAAAAAGTGTGAAGCCACCCTGTATTTCTTTTACAAACTTAAAATGTTATATTTTTTTTTAAATAACTACAGGGCATTTTCTTTTAATGTTTTTGTCCTATTCCAGCCTCCCCTTACTTCCAAAAAGTCCAAATTTGGATTCGTCTGTCCACAATACATTTTTCTAAATGCATATAAAAAATGCGAAAATCAATGGCTCACTGTGTCACACTTTTTCAACTTTACTCCAAGAAGCCGTAGTCCAACATATCATACCATTTTGGAATCAGGCTGACACCATGAGCAAATTAAAATCATCCTGGACTTGATCTGGACCCACAATCCTGAAATTTTGGATTCTCAAATTTTCATTACTGCCATTGTTTTCGATGATTTTTTACGAGATCTTTTGAGACATTTTTTTTTTTTGGGGGGACGATAAAAAATTTTATAACTTGGAAATAAATTTCGAAATAATCGAAATTAATTGCGAAATCCAGTGGTGACAGAATCCACGTCGTGGCAGTCTGCAAGTGGTGACAGAAGAATTATCGTTGAACTTGTAAAAGGTAAGCTTAAATATTAAGGTAATGCTTAAATGCAGTGGTAAATGTTGTGTTCTTCTGTATTTTATTGTTGCCTATCGCATCTACGCCTCTCTACCTATTGTGATAAAGGCCGAATCAAGAGCCTTCCGATAGCAAGGTTTTTTAAGCTAGTCATGAATATTTTGTATCAGAAAAGTTACATTTTGTTTTCACGATTAATCTCTCAGCAGACATTTTGAGATTACCAAAAGTTCTAGAGATTTGATTTATATCAAAGTAATCAAGGGAGGCAAGAACAATATCGTTTGATTTTTCAAAGACATGTTATACCATCTGGTTTACACATAATTGAATGAAAATCTATCATTGAATTCAAAATATAGCAGGAGTCCGATAATTACTGGATAATGAAGCAACCATTTTACAAGCATCCATAGGAATAGATCATATATATGAGTTCTACTTGAGGCCTCGGGGGAGTTTGGGTCTCAGTTAAGGAACTTCCTTCATAAAAGACCCATCTGTCATGACTGGTGAACGTTCATGGCCTGCTCAGTGCTGGTGAAACATTACTACATTACTTGGCCGCGTTCAACTTTACAAGCCAGTCCTTTCCCCATTTAAATACCTAGGCAAGGTCAGAATAGAGATGAACTACTATGTTCTGGTCATCCAGACTTGTGGAGTC